GCCCCTTCTTGCCAATGCCCCATCTTGCCAATGCCCCTTCTTGCCTATGCCCCTTCTTGCCCATGCCCCTTCTTGCCAGTGCCCCTTCTTGCCAATGCCCTTACTTGCCAATGCCCTTCCCTGCCCTTGCCCTGTCTTGCCCATGCCCTTTCTTGCTTGTGCTCTTTCTTGTCCTTCCCACCTGCTTGTTCTTGCCATATTGCCACTTGCAACAGAATGCTGAAATTTTGCCATTTATGCCTTTTGCCATGTGTTCTTCTTGCAGAGTACCCAATCTTGCCATTTTATACTTGTTCTTGCCATGCCATTTTGTTGCAGTATGACATGCTCAGATCTTGCCATTAATGCCTGTTTTTGAACATTACCAGGCTCTTGCCACAGATCACCCAAATCTTGCCATTTCATGCCTGTTCTTGCCGTATTGTTTCATGTACATGTTCATCATCAATATCTTGCCACTGTCTGTTCAAGCCATATGACCATGTTCTTGCCATAGATGCCAAATTTTGCTGTTGTGTATGCCTGCTCTTGCCACGCTTGTATTGCCACGTTCTTGCCAAATGCCCCAAATCTCACTGAATCACTTTTTTCCTGCAAGTGAGCACTCAGCCTTGTTAGCCAGCTTTCGTCCACCAACAAACTTTTCCATTTTTTTCATAAGTTGGATTTTTCAGATGGCCATTTTGCACATTTTGAAGTTACACGTATACCTGTTAGATGAAACTGTGCCCTTAGTAAGTCTCAGTCTGATCAGATTTGAACAAGATATGATTTTGAAGTCATTGCACTAATCAGGTTAAAGTCTGGAGCGTTCTAGTGTTTTCTTTCAACAAATTGTGCCGTATTCAGTTGAACTTCAGTGGAAAGCCAGTCATTGCTTATCTGCAAAGTACATCGATGCTGACCGAAACTTTCACCCTTCCAGTCACTTTCCATACAGAGGACACACCGTTAAGGTTCATGTATACAAGTGTTGGTATTGGTGAGTTACAGCTTTTTCACGTCTTATAAAAAATTTGAATGTACGAGTAGATCTACAGCATGTAAATAGAAACTTCCTGATAACATTTTACCTGACAAAGATTCTCAAAGATATTCAAATTAGAGAAAGCAAACCAACAAACCTGAGAACTTTGAATATGCTCATTAAAGCAAGATCATTGAGTAATTTCAGATTAAGTACCTTGATTTGTTTGTTGAATGGGCTTGAGCCAATCATGTGTTTCAAAGTGTGTGAGTCCACCTTTCTCTACCCCTCTTTTTTTCCCCTACAATAATTCTTAGCGGTTGTGTTAACATGGCACAATGTTTGCATCTTGAAAGTTAGCATGGACAAGATCCCTTGTTCCAAGTTGTCATGTACATGTACATGTACTTACATGTACAAGTTTGACATCATGATGATGTCTTCACATGTAAATAAAATCAATAATTTAATCTCTTAAAAGACATACAAGCAATTGTGAGATACCTCTATCTTACTTATTAAAACCAATTCCACAACAAAGTAGACATCATCCAAAAATTGAATACAAATGACTAAAAGTAAAAAGTCTATATTTTAACATTTAGGCTCAAAATTTAAATTTTGATCCGTTCTGGTGATGAAAAATTGAATTGCAATGCAGAAGATTTTGATCATTATATATTCAAGTTATTTGAAAAAAAACCAGGTCATATTAATCTGATAAAAACATGTTTTCCGTGTTTTGTATCAGATGTTTTGCTTCTGTGACTTTTAATATTGTGGACTTTAAAAATGTCTTCTATTAACAAAAAAGTACGTATTTTAATTTCTCTTTAAAAGTTGCAGTGTTACTGAAATGGTTTTAAAGCAGGTTCAGGAAGGCCTACAATATGGCACTGTCACTGACACATTTGTCTTAATTGTTTAATAATTACAAGTATCAAACTCTGTCCTTCCATTACTGTTTTGGTAACGGAAGGACAGTAACAGAAAGACATATTTTATTTTAAGTTGTGGTATTTGGAATGATTTTTTACAAATGAATAATACTGCGCACATGTCATATAGAATGAACAATATTTGGGTGTAACATGCTAATAGGTGGCATTTATTCCTTCTGATAAGGTCTGATTGATCTGCAAATGAGAGAGCCTCATCCATGGTCTTCTAAATATAAAGTAACAGTTACTGTGCAATTTTTCTCAACTTGGCTTTCACTTGAACTGTACATTTATAGAGTAATTCTACCAGTGTTACATTTAACAATTGTTGACCGCCGTGGTGTGGGATATGACCTTTAGAATACCCGAGGGACGCATAGTGCTCCAAGGTGAAGACGAAGGTGCCTTGCTTGCCCAAGGGTGTTCAGAACATCATGTCCCACACCATAGCGGCAACGATTGTTTTGTCATATCTCGGTCTTCAGGAATTTATCCAAAGAAACAAGCTTTGAATTTTAGAAGACAATAGGCCTACTGCAATTTGAACTATACAATTAACTTAACATATATACTATATCGTTTGCAAATACACTGTTCTGTCACTTTTGTTAGTTGCGTAAACTTTAATGTGAAACTAGTGCGGATACCAGTGGGTACATCTACCGGTATATAGTCTGGTTCGCGGTCCCCACATATACATATATGCTGCGGGGACATGAACGAGTCTGTAAATATAAGTGCAATCATGGATCAAATTCCCCGGTAGCTTTGATGCAAAAAATGTATCATGGGTACCACGCAAAACTGACTAATGTTTGCTCTCAATCTTCCCGACCAAAGCTCTTCTGTCCTGCACACGTGCGCTTTTGCGTGTGCGTGCACATGCTGTCAGTAGAATGAAATATCTCACGATGAGTATGACGTGCTGATATTGCCCTGTCATGCAATCATTCTGGGCCAATAACCGGACAGTATCCAAAATGTTCATTTTGTAGTATAACGTCACAGTTTGTGCGTGCTCTAATTGAGTAAGGCTTTTGCCCATACGTTACCAAATCCTAATCCATTTACGTTATTACATTTTGATAACCAAAACCATTATTTTCATATGTAAACTGTTAGAGTACAACTGTATAGATTTTTTTAAATTATTAAAAATTAATATTCATATTTATGAAATATTTATGAAATATGAATATTAATGAGGTTGTAAGGACAGCAAAACAGACAAGGTTTTTCCACCCAACATGAGTTTGCATAAAGTCTGAGAATTTTAAAAGTCAACTTTGTTTTTAAGTTTTAAAAAAATCTATACAGTTATACTGTAACAGTTTACATATGAAAATAAATATTTCATAAACGAAAGATTCTTGTAAGACAAAGCTTTGGAACTTGAATGTAGTATGGTACATGTACCTTCCCCCTGTAATTAACAGAATAGTGATGTGTTTGAGGAAATTCACGGTTTTGTTATAGACATGTGTTTAACATGTACATTATTGTTTAATGAGTTAAATTATCCTGTTACTGTCAAATCGCCCTCAGATCAATTTATTAAAATTAGGTACTTTCATTAATTTGTGTTCAAAAACACTTAACTTTTCTTCTATACAAACCAAGAGTGTCATGTTATTTGAAATTTGTGCAAGATTTGAACTCGCTTTTAACAGTGATTTATAAGTTGGACTGGTGGTTTTATATGAAACATCCACTGACAGATTGAAAAGTGTACTGGTAATAAAAAGATATGAAATGGCTCATTTGAATGTGATGTAGATAGGATGACCTTTATGAAGACAACACATGTCTGACGACAGATGAATGTCATCAGACTGGAAGGTACAATAACAAGGCCTGTAATACCAAATAGAATGTACTAAAAATCAGCTGTGAGAGAGATCTTCTTAAGCTGCCTACATGTACAATGTACATGTACATGTACATGTTGGTCAAATTATAGGATAAATCATTGGTTCCAGTTCCAGTCTTGCTGTCTCTTGCAGTGTACATGCATAAAACAATAGCCATGCAGATCTTTTTAAACAAGATTACCATCACATGCGATTCATGTCAATCAACCTTGTAGACTATATGTACCTAATAATATTTCTTGATATACATGTATGTATCATGTCACATATGATCCCATATCATTCATGTACATGTGCTCTAATCTCTTACCGCATAGAATACAGTCACAAAAGTCTCCTTAGAAGAGCCCTTCCCTCGATATGGATGACTTCTCATTTAGACTGTGTAGAACTTCTGTGGGCAGCCAAAGTTAGTACCAATTATGGCCAACCATCATGACCATAGTTCTGGTAACCACTTGTAGGAAAGACATGGCTATAATGACGTCAAAAGAGCAGACCGTATTTGCTCTTTGCACACTGCCACCATAGGCATGCAGAGCCTCGATCAACACTTAATGCAATAAAGTGGTCTACACTTGACAGAAAAGGTGAAACAATCAAAATGTCACCATAGTACAGGTTTTCTTTTCTTAAAAAGCACACTCTCTATGTGGTACAGAATTGATAATCACTACATGTATTCAGACGCCATGTACATGTACTGGCAATCACTGTCCGTTCTAAAGTTTGGTGATTTGCATGTAGTTTGAACTGTTAACAATTACATACATGTACATGTTACTAAGGTTAAGAATAAATCCCAAAATGTAGTCTGCAAAAATATAGTTTGTGAGACATTTAATTAGGGAATTTTGTGTGTGAAAATTAAGATTTTCTTACTTTTGAGAGTAATCATCCTTCCAGGCCCTGTCTGTTTTTAAACAGTTGTGGGTGATATAATCAGTTCTTTTTTGTTTCACTCATGCGATTTGCTCGCAATTGATTGGAGAAAGGTGGACAAATTACACGTATTTGGCATTTGCCAGAGTGGTTATGATACATGTATGAAAACACACATTGAAATGTACTACCTGCTACCATACAGAAATGTGTAGTGTATGAAAACACACATTGACATGTACTACCTGCTACCATACAGAAATGTGTAGTGCATGTGTGGAACCTAAAGTTACCAAAAGCAACCACTCTGCATGAAACCTCATTGTTGCTTGAAATGTGAGTATAAGCTACTTTATCGAAAAAGATAATTTTTTTTTACAGAATTGCCTAAAACATTTCTTGAGTATGATGGTTTGCTTTCTCTGAAAAGCTCATTTTAGGTCAATGAAATGAGTGTTTGCCCTCAAGAAACTTTTTCCAAATTAAGTTTGAGGGACCAGGTCAACATGAAACAATTGTGTGATGATCTGCTCATGCATTAATAGACCTTGCATCTGTGTTAGCTTTTAGCTGATAGGATGTCACTTTTCAAAAACAAGATGTCCATTATGTACGGGCTAATGTTCAAATGGACTTTCAGGCAAATATGCCACATGAACCGACTCATGAGAATGATTTGAACATTATTTGTCTTGTGTTAATAATCTTATAAAACACGGTGTTATACATATTTGCAACCACAGCAGACTTCCCACAGGATACCGTCTACCTCTTCAGACATCTTGTGCCGCTGAAACAAATGGAAGAGTAGGATTGTCTGAAGGTTGTGGCTTGGAGAATGTTTGGCATCCCAGCCATCTCTAAGATGTAGACTGCCAGATCGTTTGTTTTTACACATCCTCTGACTGAACTGTGTACATCTTAGATATCAGACCTGTTTAACCAGTCAGCTGCTGGACGAAGACCTGTTCCTTTGAGAAACCAATCCCTGGCCAAGTAATTATCAAGGGTCAATCATCATGCAAGGTCCACAAACAGCCATGGCGGTGGTTTCATCAGCTCCATGACCAGTTGCACCCTCTTGACTCAGTTAATGGAGGAACAGTTACTAGAGATCTGGGTGCCGTACCCAAACTCACCTTTGCTTGCTGCTTTCAGTCGTCATGGTAAGCTAGATGTCTGTTATTTCTTATTAGGCAATTGATTTAAAGAGTACAGTACATGAAATTGTATTATAACTGGATCATTGAACTTTCATTTTATGACACTCCTTCCACGAAAGAATAAGATGTGCATTATACCAACTGAGAGGTATATTTCCTGATGTGGCTTGCATGTGCAAGTTGCATTGTTGTATTTGAAGTTGATGCCATCCACAAAATGTGTTTCATCTGTGTTTCCATTGTTAATTCTCTACATGTACACATACATTATACTGGCTTATTAAAGTCAGAGTTGATTAACATCCTTGGGCCTGCTTTAAGCTTCCATGTAAATGTACCATTGTACATTTATAGGTTTTACCGTATGCAGATGAGTCAACAAGATTTTGCAGAAAAGCTGGTTTTGTGACGTATTTTGTGAACACTCATTGAAAGGGAAATTTGCTGTCCCAGTGATGGAGGCTTAATTCCCAGTACATACCGGTACATATATACTGGTCATCCAGTACGTATCCAAAAATGCCCAGGCTGATATGTGCCAGTGTGCAAATACCTGATTATTTAATATCTTTGTCCTTCTAATTCCCTTCTAATTCATTTTTAAAACTACATGTAGCTTCAGCCGAAGCCTCTTGATCTCCTCCACAGTGAAGTCTTTCATGAACTTTCCTTATCATGGTAATTTGTCATTTACTTTTATATTGATCAATTTAAACATCAGATAAAAGGTCACGGCCCACAGCAGACTCGTCTTTGAAAGATTTTTGTGTATATTTTGTACGTACTTGACCTGCAGGTCAGCCCAAATGGCCTAAAACTTTGTCTTTTGGCACTGTACATTGTATCTTTCAGGAGTATACGGTACATTTACTAAAAGGGTGTCTGCTTAATTACAGATTCAGGGAAGCCAGCTACAAAGTGTACATACTGGTACTTTGATAGTATTGGGCTTGAAAATTCCTTCTTCATTTTTGCAAGATATTTTCCATAAAAAATGTTCAATTAAAATTTCTTCTGTCTGAACGGGGTTTCAGTTTAAGTCCCATTTTCCCCACATACGCGTTGACACACTGATGTGATTGAGTGTTGAAGACTAAATTTTCATGTGATGACTTTGAATATCGGTAAAGCTTTCCAAAATCGTCTTTCTTCAAAGTACAGAATGATTTTCAGATTTCCCCAAAAGAAGTTCATTTTTTTGTCAAATACTGTCTACAGGTTGGTGCCCATCTACATTGTTAGGTAATTATAGTGCCCCATTCATCAAGTGAGCTAAATGAGCCGGTGTCAATATTGGTTAGAGATAATACAAAGGAATAATTAAATTGACTTGATGAGTAGCATATAGTGTGACCCTCGAAGTACATGTACTATTTTAAGGGTAATTCCAGAAATTAGGGTTCCAAAAGTGTGACATTTTTATGTCCCAGTTACATCTGACCTTTGTTATTTGACATGGAAGTATAACCAGAATTGATATCAAACTATTACTATTTGTTCGGCAGGTAATTTGCATTAATTCATCATTCTTTGAAATCAGAAAATGTATTTGGAACTTACAAAATCATGTGTCAGATGTGACAAAGACAAAAAAAAAAGACCCCTAATTTCTGGAATTAGCCTCAAGCATCTGTATATGTGTTGATACAATGATTTGTACCCATTCATTCATTAGACTCATTCATTAAGCCTCATCTGACCAATCGCAGCTGTGATTTATGGCTGACATGCATACATGTACGTCATCAGTGACATGCTCTGTGAAAATGAGTCACATGTCACCAGAGCTACTTTGGAGTCATAGGCCTTTGAAAGAATTTTGCACCGCGTTTAAGCAATACTCAACATGTTTACATCTTCACAAAGTCCATTTTATTTTTACTCATGTACACCAAACTGATTGACCCATCAAAATAAAGAGCTGAAATTCCTTGATCTAATACAAGGTAAAACTCAAAAGCTGTGCTGGAGACTTGTGACTCATGTTTACAGAGCGCGTCTGCACATGCTGCGTGTGGTATTGGAGAATCTTGAACACTTGTTAAGTACTTATGCATGTACATGTATACCTGCGCACAGTGCGCAGGGCTTACTACATTGGTCGATGCAAATGTACATGTATGTTATAATGATGATCTTAATTACCCAGTCATAACAATTTGTTTTTAAATACAGTATGTACATGTGTAGAGAGGAAGGCATTATGAAATGTACTAGCGTTTCTTTTTTTCTCAAGATGTATTTTTACATTGGGGAGATGTTAATTTATATAACGGGTTTTGCCTTTACCCAACGTATATATTGATAAGCACAGTATGCTCAATGTTTGTCCGAGAGCTTGCGAAAAAAGAATATAAAAATATACTTTCTTACAAAGTTTCAATTAAGTCACTGCTTCTGATGTGATTCAGTTGCAACTTTTTATGTTTTAAATATGACCAGTGCAAGTCACGGTGTATTTTCTCGGTACAATGGTGATGTGACATGTGCCTGTTTTTTTTTCTGGAAAATAATCTAACGTTTTTAGCAATGGACCAGGAAATTCTTTTGTTACTTGTTGGTGGCTGCAAATGGAACAGTGTGGTTTGTTGTTTGAATTATGTTTGATATAATACATGCTCAAAAAGGAGGGGATCATTACATGTGCATTGTATGTTGCCACCACCAAGCATCTCCAAAGTCTTCCATTAGGGATAATGTTAAGTCTTTAAGGGATGGGTTCATTTAACTTTACTATTTTTCAACTTAACTAAAAGGAATTTCTAGATTAACCTTTGAAATTAATTTTTAGATTTACTTTTAAATCAATTTGAGATCTACTTCTTAATTTATTTAAAAGTAAATTTAAATTCTTTTTATGATTTTCAAGATGTATTTTT